GAGAGAGAGAGAGAGAGAGAGAAGAGTACTTTCAAGTTAAAATGAACTTCGTTCTTGCTAATTTCTGCTCTCTCATGCCCTTTCCTGACCTTTCCTTCTGGAAATGCAGGGAGAGGCTGGGACAGGTGATATCACATTCTTGTGACAAAGCATGCTCACCTCCTGTCCCTGAAGCATTCTCATTCCTCCAGACACAGGCCAGGAGTGAGTTGGAGAGCTGTGGGAGTGGGAGAGTGGGGTGTGTGTGTGCTGTGACCACTCTGGCACACAGCAGGTGACATCAAGGAGAAGGGATTTTTCCCTGGATAGACAAGAACTAGAAACCCCAAGTCATTGATTGCCTTTTACATCAGGGTGAGGGATGGAATGAGAGAAGGTCTCACATAGCTCCATATTGCCTTGTACTTGCTGTGTAGCCAAGGAAGTTCTTGGAATCTGGAAGTCCTTGATTCTGGCACTTCTGCCTCCTAAGTGCTGGGACTGCAGAAATGTGCCCCATGCTCTGTATCAGTGTCATTTTTATAGACCCTTATAAAGAAGGAATTCCATCAGCTGGATACCATCCGCTCTAAGCACAACCTAGTACAGTTAGCAGGTACATCAACCCGCCTTAAGCAACCTGCTGTAACAAAGCAGCCCAGGTTTGACAGCTTATAAAACAGAAATTTCCTTGTTTTTCTCAAGACTGGAAATGCAAGATCAAGCATCACTGAGTTGATTCCTTTTTTTTTTTTTTTTTGGCCTCTCTCCTGTGGCTTTTAAGTGATGTCTTCTCCCTGTGCCTTCGTGTGTCTTCTTACAGTATCCTAATTTCCTCTCTCACAAGATCCCAGTAAGACTTAGGCAGTAGTGGCACACACCTTAGATCCCGTGCTTTTGGGGCAGAGATAGGTGGATCTCTATAAGTTCAAAGCCAGCTTGGTCTACATAGTGAAACCTTGTCTCACAAAACAAAACAAACCCCCAAACCCAGTCATGTTCCCAGTATCATTATACATCATCTTCATGACACCCTCAAACCAGCAACTATAGCTGGTCTCTCGTAGCATCTATACGTCCCCTCTAATCTGCCTCATCCACACCAGTTACCCAGGTGGCATCACTACCTTCCCCCATCAGAGAAGCTACTGTATCATAGTAGAGACTTACCTTCTGCCTTTCCCTATGCCCAGGTTCTCCTCAGTTGAGAAGGTGTAAAATGGTCAGCCTTGCATTTCTATAGGGACCTTTACTGATGACACTGTAGGAACCAAGCTAACTGTACAGGACCTGAGCAGCCCAAACCTTCGGACTAATATTTCGTCTTTCCTCGTCTTTCCTTTTTTTAAATACCTGCTCTGCCAATGAACATCTGAAAGCATCACTCAGTTAAGGGCATAAAAATAGCCTTCCAAACCAGTATGCAGAGAGAAGAAAGAGGCAGAATCCAGAGGAGGTGGGACATTGCATGTCATCATAGCCGTGACTTGGTAACACGACATAGAAGAGGTTCTGGAAGGACACGCATATGCTCACCTTCTCTTCCACTCTTGAAATGAGGCATTGTAGGAATTGGGATTTCCCCAGAAATCTCATGCTGAGAGGGAGAAGGCTGAAGCCTAGTGCCAGCCAGTGGGAGAATTTGTAGCTCTAGTAGAGTTTTCACACAGTGGGACAAGCAAGTGCCTGACCAACCACCTTGCTGGAGAGACTGGAGCCCTGACAAAGATGAGTGAGTCCAAGGTGGGACCACACCTTGACTGGCACTGTTTCATACCTCTGGTCACCCTCTTGGTCTTGGGGCTAGTCACTGGATCTACTTGTCTCTCTTCTCACTGTGGTCACATTTAATAGATTTCCCTTTTCTGCTTCTCCTCTTTATGTGTTTGGCTTACTAAATAAAGATGGGTTGTTGAACTGGCTTAGTGGGGTGGGGCCTTGGCTCTGACTTTTAATGACCCTTAGTAACACTGCCGCAGAGCTCTGGGGACCGGTCCAACTTTCCGTCATTCCTGTTCCGACTCATCCCAGCAGAATCCCTTATTCAAACAGAGATTTTTCCCTTCTATGGTGTTTGCAGAGACATTGCTTACAGTTTTTCTACTACCAATCACCCAAGGCTCCCAGATGAACCTATCCCTTGGTCTCCCCTCAGCCTTCTCTGTCCCTTCACTCAATAATTACGAATGCAACGCTGAAATAGTTACCAGCCATTGTTTCAGAGGCAGAAGATGCAGAGCAGGCAAAATGGCCTAAAATCCCAGCTTTTCCAGAGCATGTGGCCCAGCCAAAGAGCAGCAAGGCATTGCGCAGAGAGAGGGACAGAAAATAGCATCTCCCTCCCTTTCATATATGTACAAAACACTGTAAGATTAATGTCACATACATCATGAAATGTTCATGAGTCATTTACAGTCTTACATGATTTAATATCTGTTTATGAAACAAAGATGAATGCATACATGAAATTATAACTTTGTAAAGGTTATCTATAACTACATTGTATAGGATTTATATGTATGTTATCAATATGATACAAACATCTACACATGCATTTCTGTGGTTTACACATGTGCATGGACACACATGGACACTCATCAATCAGTAAGAAATACCAAAATACAAATGAGTTATGGAAAAGCATTTGGGTAGGCTGTATCAGTCAGGGTTCTCTAGAGCCACAGAACTAATGGAATCTCTCTATATATTGAGGGAATTTATTAATGACTTACAGTCTGTAGTCCAACTAACCCAACAATGGGCAGCTATGGATGAGAAGTCCAAGAATCTAGCAGTTGCTCAGTCCCATGAGGCTAATTGTTTAAGCTGGTCTTCTGTAGAAGTAGGTTCCAACAGATGTGCTGGCAAGTAAGTGCAAGCAGGCGAAGAGTGAATCTTCCAATGTCCTTATGTAGGCCTCCAGCAGAAGGTGTGGCCCAGATTAAAGGTGTATGCCACCACATCTGGATCTGGGACTTGCTTTGTCCCAGGATTGACCTTAAACTCAGAGATCTCCTTGCCTTAGTCTCCTGGGATTAAAGGCGTGTACCACCTTGCCTGGGCTTAAGCTTTTCATGGCCACTGTGTCTCAAGATCTCCATGCCATGATCCAGGTCAGAAACTTGTATCTCCCAGCCTCAAGATCTGGATCACAGGTGACCCCTCCAATTCTGGATTGTAGTTCATTCCAGATATAGTCAAGCTGACAACCAGGAATAGCCATTACATAGGCCTTTCTGAGAACATGACCTCGAGGTGGTGACCAGGGCTGGGTTGTTGTCTCTGGTAGAGAAGAGGGTTACCGAGGGAGTGGGAGCCTCTGGGAACTATCAGGGAGAGCCAGCTCGCTGTGCTTGGCACTGGCGGGGAAGGCAGTGTGTCTGAAGTGGTTGATCCAGAGTAGGGAGAGGAAGAGTGCAGAAGAGCAGGGTGACCAGGGTGGGGAGTCGTAAATGCCAGTGGTAGTCGTTTTGAGCCGAGTAGACCCTCTCCTCCCGTGTATTAACAGAATCTCCCTGGCTCCCGAATCACAAGGGGAGACTCTCTTGAGAGCTGTCCTGACAGTAAGATGGAGAAGCAACATGGGCCAAAATGGTAGCTTCAAATGGTAGAGGGAAATGATCTGGAGAGGCGTGAAAGAACGAGATTAAGACCGTCTGTGCTATCCTGGTACAGCAGTAAACACACCACGTTATCTCAACACTCGGGAGACTGAGGCAATTGGATTGCTAATTCAAGACCAGCCTGAGCTACATGCAGAAACTCTGTCTCAGAGTTCAGTGCTGGCATGCTTCCTTACTGAGGCTTAGTATATAACATGCCAAAGGTGGAGGTGACGCGCAATAGACTCCCTCAGAGCTGGGAGAAGAGACAACACAACCCGGAAGGGCATCTTCCATCCCTGTGCTTTTAGAATTTACCTGGAACTCTCACTTGCGCATGCGCAAACTTCTTTGGGTCACTGTTTTCTTCTGCGCTTCCTTGCTCATCTTCCTCAAGTGCCTTTGAGCCGTTTGTTCTAAGCAATTTAAGCTCCTGGTGGACTAGGACAGCCCAGTCATGTTTCATTGGCGTCTCATCACACCTGATTTGGTTTCCGCTGTCTCTAGTTCACCACGCACGACCTTTAAAGACAGGTACGTTTAACTGTGTCTCTGCCCTTTCCCCCACAGGTCACTACGTACATGACATTTGCATCTACGGAAACGGAGACTTGCCGTGGCTAATTAATTCTCAAAGCCTGTTTGCTAACAAATTTGAACTCAACACATACCCTCTTACTCTGGAATGCCTAGAACTGAGGCATCGCGAAAGAACGCTCAATCAGAGTGAAATTGCCGTACAACCCAACTGGTATTTCTGATCCGCGGCAGCTCTGGCCTGAACGGAAACTGAAGACATATAGAAGAGTCTTCTTTTCCAAGAGACTCTTGTCTTGGCTACGCTGAAGGCTTTTAGGGAAAAAAAATGGTTTCAGGAAACCGTCAGGACCTGGCAACAAACACGCCTCTGCTTAAACTATCCACTGGACACTGTGGTATATTTGACAGGATGGCTGCACAGCAGCTGTCTGGCCGTTTCTTTTGAATGTCTTTTCTTTTCTCACCACCACCCCCTTCCTCTTCCTCTCTTCTCTGGTTTGTTTGTTTGTTTGTTTTGTTTTTTTAAGATAGGTAGGGTCTATATATATATATGTATATGTATATGTATATGTATATGTATATGTATATGTATATGTATATGTATATTTGGCAAGCCTGTTTCTTATCAGGTAGCCCAGTATGGCCTTGAACTCAAATCAGTCCTCCCACCTTGGCTACCTAAGGGCTGCTATTACAAGTGTGGACAACCACACCTGGCTCTGATGTCTGGCAGTCACTTGATGCTCATCTCCGTCTCAGTCTACTGAGTGGTCGAGATGATAAATTCAGATGCATCAGATCTCTGTGCCAGATACTCATATTAGTATATTCTGTTAGAAAGGAGAATGGTGGATAATACTAAAAAAATCAGAACTTAGCCGGGCAGTGGTGGCGCACACCTATAATCCCAGCACTTGGGAGGCAGAGGCAGGCGGATTTCTGAGTTCGAGGCCAGCCTGGTCTACAGAGTGAGTTCCAGGACAGCCAGGGCTATACAGAAAAACCCTGTCTCGAAAAACCAAAAAAAAAAAAAAAAAGATCAGAATTTATTTGAGAAGGAAACTCTTTCCATATTCCTAGCAACTATATTCTCAGGCATACACAGGCACAGAGACAGCTTTCTGGTAACTTACCAATTCCATTTGATACAAACTGATCCTGAAGAGCTGCGGAACTATATATAGTTCAGTGCCCAAGCATTTGACTGACATTTGTGCGTAGTCAGCCTTCATCTCCAGGAACACGCACAGGTTCTGTGAACACCGACATTTTCAGTTTACTTGTTGTCTGAAGTTCTGCAGACAGTACAAAGCCATTAACAAGCAACTGACAGCACAAGTGTCGTAAGACGGGAGGTGGCTGCAGGAAGGAGGACCTCAGGGATGCCGGACGTTTCCATATTCTATTCCAGAATGTTCTCTTTTCCCAGAGAACACTGGAACATCCTCACAGGAATGAAGGAATTCTTTCTTTCCCACAGGAAAGGTGCTACTACGTGGGTCTGGAACTTGTGAATGACTCGCTTCTGGGGTTCTGTTTCTATATGAGAGATAGAGATCCAGTTCTGTTGTATACAGCTTTAACCACGTCAGGACAGCCTCTAGCTTGCAATGATTGGTGCTACCAGGAGCACCTGAATCTCTAAGAGCTTTTTATGACAGGTGGATGGACATCTGTGTCATTTTTCCTTGTTCCCTCTCCATTCATTCATTCATTCATTCATTCATTCATTCATCCATTCGTCAGCCTGCATTCAGCAAACACCTCTTGGATGTCTGTGATCCTCCAGACACATGCTGACAGACACGAGGGACGCAAGACAGATACTTTCTCCACTGGAAAACTCTGAGGAGTGGTGTCATCAGCTTTTGAAACCCTGCTCTAGAGTCTTACAAAATGGCTACACCTCACACATACCCTGGCCTGGCTATATATTACGTCAGGCCATAGAGATCAGCAATGTATTAATTAATAGATTAACCCAGAGACAGGAAGGAGGAAGCGAAAGCTAAAGCCTCTTGTGTCCGCAACAGCTCCTTTTTGTCTCGTTTTAGTCAAAAGTCCTCGCGTGTACCCGCCCCTCTCGTGGGTTACATGAGTACCTGCATCTTGCAGATGGTGTAACAAGATGGTTCATGATCATTAAGAAGCAAATTGTAAGAATTCAGGTTGTCTTTCTGCTTCTCTCATTTCTTTAGGGATGTGGAGAGAAGATAAAATAAAGCCATCCTTAGTGTCTCTAGAGAAAGTGGAGTTTAAGAATGGTCTCAGTGTTACTAATGAGAAAAAGTTCTGTCACTCAGAAAAAAAATATGAGGTCAGGACTCAGCCTGACTACCTGAGTTCAATTCCTGGGACCCACATGAAGGAGGCAGAGAGTCCACTCCACACATGTTCTTGCACCAGGCACCCCCCCCATATACACATACACACACATGAATAACTGTAATTTGTAAAATGTGATTTTCTCTACTAGCGCTTTTGCATTTAGAAATATTTATTCTAACGGGGGAAAAAACCCACTTGCTTTAAATGATATCACTTACCACAGTTTCATTCTTCTGCTGTAATTATACCAACTGAATGTTACTCATCTTTAAAGGGAATCACTTCATGTAAAAAAAAAACTTTCTTGTCTCTTCTGCTGAAAAATAAAACGGTGGTGTACCGGGTAGTAAGATAATCAAATGATGAGAGGTAGGAAGCCCATGGTCAAGGCGAAGTCTAAAGCCGGGCTGTTTTTTATTTGATTTTTTGGATGAGCATACCTGAAGACTAATGTTTTACACTGGATGGAGATCTCATGGAAAATGAGACTTTTTTTCTTCCTGGAGAAGTTTACATGCCCATTGTCGGTCACCTCTTTACTGTAGATACTGTTGGAAAGACTGCAGCATTTGAGCGGGTGAGCTAGCAGGGAGTGTACCCATATCTACTGTGTCCATTTTGGTTTTGAGGATGTTTTCTGTTTTTGTTTCCTTGGAAATAAATTAATATATTGTTTTCCACCTTCAGGAATAATGGATATTTTTTCGATAACTGGGTAAAATGCACTGGTTCCCCAGCTTTTAAAAGGACAAAAGAAATACATTTAAACATGTATAACTGTCTGACATCATCTTTCCACTAAAAAAAGAAAAAAGAAAAAAAATTGACCTTTCCATTTGTGGGCTAAGGGGAGAGTGATTGAATACAAGGAGATGAAATAGAAAAGTGGCAATTGGTTTTATTTATACGTGTGTGTGTGTGTGTGTGTGTGTGTGTGTCGTATGTATGTATGTATGTATGTATGTATGTAAAATGCCTTTTATGGAACTTTGAGCTTGCCATTAGGCTGGTGTAGCTGGCTGGTGAGTCCCCAGGAACCACCGGTCTCTACTTCCCCATAGCACTGGGGTTACAGGCATGTACCCCTCCCTTCTCCAGCGTTTACATGGATGCTGGGAATCCAACCTCAGGGACTCATGTTTGCAGAACAAGTATTTTTACCAGGCACAAGTTGTCTTAGACTTGCCTACTGTGTTAGTCTGGTTTTCTATCCGTCACTAAGATCAAATGCTTAGGAGAAGCAGCTGAATGGCAGAAGAGTTTGTTTAGGGTCACAGTATTTGGAGGTGGCAGTCTATCATGGTGGGAAAAGCATGGCAGAGCATCTGGGAGACAGGAAAGGGGTTCAGGAGGGAGTCAGACCAAGGTAATGATCCTAACAACACACCCACAGCAATCTACTTCCTCCAAGGAGTCCCCCTCCCCATGCCCCCTCCCTCCCATGACCCCCATTCTCCCCCTCCACCTCCTATGCATAAAGCTGGGCATCTATCCTGGCTACCTGCAAAGACAACTGCTTCCTGGCTGCCAGGCGCTGAGCTGGTTGTTGGAGATGAACAGACAAAATCCTGCTTCATAGAACCTATCCCCAGTAAGTTAGCGACTTTTCAGGAACAGTTTGCATCGGGTTGCCTAGCAACAGGATGTGAATGATACCAAGTCATCTACCTTTGATGTCTGTCACATGCCGAATGTGATCGCTCCTGGTCGCCATTAAATTTTTCAAAACAGCGGGTCCTTTCTGTCCTAGATGGAGAGAGAAAGGAACAATGAAATAGTGCTACAAAGCCACAAGAGCAGTGTGGTGGCCCGAAGGTCACAGCTGTGGGGTGAAGACTGTATTGGATGATGCTGTCGGGCAGGCCTGCCTGATGAGATACTGTGCACTGCACTTGTGCCATCTTCAGGTAAACACAAAGGCAAGCTGGACATTGGGTTTGCTTTCGTCATTTTAGTGTCTAGTCTTGGTAAGATCCCAGTCAGCCACAGACTTCTTGGAACACAGCTGGTTTCAGAGTTTGGGCAGGGAAGACCTGAGATGAGACTGGAACACATAGTTATGTATGGTACAAGTATCCTAAAAGGGTGACAAACATGTCACAGGTTCAGGGGTCACCTTGAACTCTCCTACTGCATCAGAAACATAACAGTAATATATTGTGGCCCAATAACTTAAATAATACTCCAGGCAAGCACAATACATGCATATACATATGTGTAAATGCATATATAAAATATACACGTTATTAAAATGTATGAGAGGCCAGTATTGGCTTGAAGGGAATTCCTGCCGTTGGCTCCAATGATCACCTGACAAAGCTATCATGGTTCTGTCACCCAGGGCTGAGCACAGTGGTTCTGTGATGAGTGAGAGAGCAAATGTCTGGGTCTTTGTCAGTCACACGGTTTCTGTTGTGATTATTCACTTCTGCCGTGAATACGTAGATGACATATAAGCATGGGCTGTATGCTCTATGCCGTGACTGTGGACTGTGAGTTCGTGATCTACCCAATCCCTCTCTAATGTATGTCAGACCCCAAGAAGGTGAAGGAGCATCCTGTTTCATATGGATTACCTCTTGATGGGAATACTTAAGTGCCCAACCCACCTACAATCCCCAGCCAGGACGGGACCATGAGAAAGCAACACACAGAAGGAAGACCGGCATTTCTACTTTGGCTAAGTCTCTGTCTAGGGCATGAATAAACAGGTGTGTGTTTTCTCCGAATGAACAAGGAGAGCTGGATAAGAAAGATTATGGAGTCTGCTTGTTGTTATTGGAAACTCCAAACAACACATCTGGGGACCAAGATTGGAAGACAGGGGAACCTTTAGCATGTACCTCTGTCAAGTTGAAGCTGTTAGGACACAAAGTACATGTTGTTACAGCTCCCCAGTCTGAGAGCTGCTTACAGAGCACTTTTGCTCTACGTGCCGAGTCAATAAAATCCACACATCAGGCCAGGCACAGAGGTGCACACTGCCAGGGCCAGCAAGAAGGGTGTGAATTTGAGTCCTGTCTACAGAGTAAGACCCTGTCAAAAAAAAATAAAGTAAAAGAGAAAGAAGGTGAAACATCGAGGTTTATTCAAACTGCGGGGGTGAGGGGTTGGGGGGAGTGTGCTGCGGAGATGTCTCAGCCAGTAAACTGCTTGCCATTCAAGCATGAGGACCTAAGTTTGGGCTAAAATTTGCTACAGATGAGAAAGATGGAGTAAGCCAGGAAGCCAAATGTCTAAGAGATTATGACTAAATTGACATTCCTTCTGCATGTCAGGGGTCATCTAGAGCTACCTGTTCTCAGGGTAGCTTGTTAAAGGCCCCAGGAAAGACTTACAAAAGCTACTTACAAAGGGGAATTGGTCCCTGCAGATGTGCATTCCAACCATCCAGAGGTTCTTAATATGTGAGAGGAACCCATCATGACAGTCCTCCATAACCTACACAAAGTATGCGAAGAGTCCATCTTCCAAATGTACAGCAGTTGACAGGGAAATCCATGCCATCCAAAGCACTGGGGACCGTTAAAAACTGTGTGAATGTCTCAGAACTGAGCAATGCCATTCAGGTATTCATTACAAGAACATGTTAAGCAGCATCTAAGGTGCCAGAGGACAGAGGGCAACTCGGTGGA